TGCTTTGGCCTCCAGTCCCCTGATCATCTTTGTTGCTCTTCTCTGTACTCTTTCTAGAGTCTCAACATCTTTTTTACATCGTGGTGACCAAAACTGGATGCAGTATTCCAAGTGTGGCCTTACTAAGGCATTGTAAAGTGGTATTAATACTTCACGTGATCTTGATTCTATCCCTCTGTTAATGCAGCCCAGCACTGTGCTGGCCTTTTTGGCAGCTGCAGCACACTGCTGACTCATATTTAAGTGATTGTCCACAAGGACTCCGAGGTCCCTCTCACAAAATTTTGCACAGTGAGGCCTTGTATTGTATTTACTGACTCCACATGAAACATGGTGTCAGAAGCATCTGAATCTGCACTGTCCCCACACATTTGATGCATGCCAGTCTAGCGCTTACGGTCCTGTCCTGGAAGCCAAGCACTTGAAGCCAGGAAACCAGCATCATGGCAGCTGCTAACAGCATTCCACTGCCTGAGGCAATGAGGATAAGTGGAGATTGCAGCAGTAACTGGGCCAACTTCAGAGCAGAGTTTGAGGATTACTCCCTACCCACATGCTTACATGACAAATTGGCAGCAGTGCAGGTAGCCACACTGAGAAGGCTTATAGGCAGCGAATGCCTCCATGTTTACAAGCATAATTTAACCCTTATAGAGGAGCAAAAGAGACTAAAGCCATCCTAGATGCCTTTGATGTCTTTTTCAGACCCTCTAAAAATGTCATATATGAGATATATATATTTGGTAGCTGTAAGCAAGAAGAAGTTGAAGCAATAGACAGTTTTGTCACACAGCTAAGAGAAAAAGGTGCAAGCTGTGATTATGGCTCTCTAAGAGATGAACTTATTCATGATAAAATAGTTCTGGGTATCACAAGTGAAAGCACACACCACCCCCTTTTGAGGGAACATAACTTAAGTTTACAAGCAGCAATTGAGATACATAGTATCACAGAACTTACTGACAGGATAACTTATTGGAGCAGGATAAATAGATCGGCAGTGTCAATGCAGCCTCCAAACAACAGCTAAGCATAAAGAACCATCAGCACAAGCGTCAGCACAAAATTCATCTACACAACTCACCTGGGAGCAACCCATTATCATGCAAGTACTGTGGCAGTGTGCATGTACGAGAGAAAGAGCAGTGTCCTGCATATGGGAAAACCTGCAGAGCATGTGGGAAACCAATTCATTTTGCATGAGTGTGTCTCTTTAGTAAAATGGAAGCGAGAAAGCTGCACACAATTGAGCAAATGTCAGATCCTAAAGATGAACACTTGTTTACCACCAATGTGAT